CAACTATGAGAAGAGGAGCAATGCACGCATCATTCAGCTCAAGAGGATGCTGACGGGTGTAAGGTTGACCAAGGGGAAAGCCATTGCAGAGTACCTAGGGGAATCCCGGGAGCTCAAGCTAGATTTGAGGGCGGCAGGACAAACCGTGTCGGATGGTGAGCTGGTCGTGCACACCTTGGAGAGTTTGCCGATGGAGTATGCCACTCTTGTGGAAGTCTTGGAGCTTGGAGAGGAGGAGCTAACTCTAGATGTAATCCAGCTAAAGCTAATGCAGAGAAAGCAGAAGCTAAAGTTAAGGGCTGAAGCGAGGTCCGTGGACAGGACTTCGGGTAAAGATGGAGCGGTGGCATATGCCGCTAAACATAGGGGCTACTCGAGCTCAGAGAGGGCCGGGGAAGCTCAAACGAGCTGGGAAGAAGCTCGAAGGTGAGAGGCGGGAGCTCAAACCCGCCAACATGCTATTGTTGTGGCAAAGTGGGCGACATGAGGGCAAAGTGCAGGTTGCGCACTGCCGAGTGTCGCAAGTGCGGCAAGAGGGGCCACACCGAGGCAGTGTGTAGGCAGAGCGCGCGCGCAAGTGGCCGCGCAGAGGACAGAGAGTTTGCGGGGGCTGCAATTGGAGTAGCCTTTACGGCGTGGGGCGACGACGTGTATGTGCGCAAAGGGGTGTGGATAGTCGACTCGGGCGCCACCCAGCATGTCACGGCCGATCCAAGCCCATTCACGAGCTACAGAAAGCTTGTGCGTGATGAGAAGATCGTGGGGATCTGTGGTGAGTTTTGGATTGCAGTGGGCATTGGAGAAGTGGAGCTTAAGTGTAAAACCCCGAGCGGTGTGAGTTCGGTAACCTTGAGGGAGGTCCTGCACGCTCCAAGGGCACGGGCGAGTTTGTTCTCGCTAACTAGAGCGACTGACGCGAGAGCACAAGTGCTGCTCGAGGGGAGAAGCGCGCAGATCGAGACGGACAATGTGGTCCGTATGGAGGCAGTCATCGACGGCTATTATCGAACCTACACATTATTGACGGTTATTGCCAAGTCATTCGGGTGTAACGATGTAACCCGCGCGCATTTAAACGGTGTCACCGTATCTTCTGGTATTGTCGAATCACCGTCGACGGCGTGATCCTAAAACTTTCCCGTATCTCAACAGTGTGGGAGCACGGACGGAGATAGCTTTGAAGAAGACGGAGGGGGTGATGTCGCCGGAGACGGACGGCAAAGGTTATTCGGATAGGGTGCGAGCGGCGCCTCGAAACTTTTGGGACACGGCGGCCGACAAGGGGTGGATACGCCAAGGTGAAGAAGACAGCGGGTAGAAGAGGCTAGGTTTGAGCGGGACAAATTGTCCGCGTGGGAGTGTTGAGAAACGGAGTTGATTGACGGCCAAATCGTTGAGTTAGGCTCGAAAGATTGAGCCGTAGGATTGTGAATTGATTCGTAATAAAAAGACCGTAGGATGGTGGTTGGTACGTGTAAGGCTGATAATAAGATTGGAAGTCTGTGTCGTTAAGTATCGACCGTCGGATTGGTTGTTGACTCGGTTTGTCGATCGTTGGATGGGGGTTGACTCGACTAGTATAGTATCCCGACCACTAGTACGGTACTATCGACCAGTAGTAGTATAGTGCTCCGGTCACAAGTCCGAGTGGTTTTTAGAGAGTACATCTAGCTACGGGATTGGAAGTACTTTGGAGTATTGCCATGTGATGGACATTCATTTCTAAGAAATGCTTGAAGGGAGAAAGGCGCTTCTTTGTGAAGGCGCTTATGAGTGAGGGTGGTTAGACCCTAGCTTGTGACAAGCATAGTGAATGATTTCAACAGATGGAAGGAGTCCATATAGTTGAATCGACCAGTGGGTGGTGGAATTAGACCCGACCAAGGCCCTTGAAGACGTGTTCAGGGGCAAGGGGACGGTTCACGAAAAAACCGCTCGCTGCAGTGCCGAGCGATATGGGTCGGCGGGACGGCTTTCCTGGAGTTTGGAGGAAAAAGCTCGGGCGATGCCTGAGGACTCGGGGTTGCCTAATCAATCTTGGGCGGAAACCGTGGGTAACGGCGAATCATACCCGAAACCGGACGCCCGTGACCGCCCATGGGAAAGGGCCGCTTGGGAGGCGTTCTTCAGTGAAAAGCCGAATGTCCGGCATCTGAAAATTTTTGGCGCCCGAGCTTTTAGGCACGTCTCCAAGCAGCAGAGGTGTAAGCAACATCCGGTGAGCAAGCGCTGTGTGATTATGGATTACGAGCCGGACTCGAAAGCGTGTACACAGGTTGCTCCAGGACCATGACGGGAAGTTAGTCATCTCCCGGAACGTCCTCTTTAACAAGGTGTTGAAACTCATGGTAGGGAGTCGAAGTGTAGTTGAGGTACTCGTCATTGGGTCCTATCGTGTTG